GGGGATGGACTCTTCATCAGGGACTGCAGTGATAGGACAAGGGGTGATGGGTTCAGACTGAAACAGGGGAAGTTTAGGTTGGATCTAAGGAGGAAATTCTTTCCTGTGAGGGTGCTGAGGCACTGGAATGGGTGCCCAGGGAGGTTGTGAATGCTCCATCCCTGGCAGTGTTCAAGGCCAGGTTGAAAGAGGCCTTGGACAACATTGTCTAGTGTGAGGTGTCCCTGCCCATGGCAGGGGGATTGGAACTGGTGCTTACTCGTGAGTGTAAAATGTGATGTGAAAAGGGTCCAGAGTAACCCCGAATCCAGACTCTTCCTGCTCAGGGCTCCTCAGCTGGTAATTTGGCAGCTTCCAGTGCCCATTTGGGAGCAGCAGACACCAGGGAAGGGAGGTGATGCTCTGAGGAGGGGCTCTGAAAGCCGAAGTCTCCCGACCGCTGCATTTCCATGGTGTGCTTAAAACCAAGCTTGCAAAATGCCTTCTGTGGGGTAGGCAGGAGCAGGAGCTGTGCCCAGAGCCAGTCGGGGGGGGCAAAACCTGCAGCAGCGGTTGTGGGAGCATCTTTAGGGAAGAGGGAGATGGCAAAGGCAGGTTTTGTGGGAGCATCCCCCGGAGAAGAGCGCGGAGGGACCAGTGCTCCCTCTGCTGCCGCAGGGATGCATCCCGCTGGGCCAGCAGCACGCAAAGGCGACCCCATCGGACAGAGAGGGGCAGAATAAACGCTTTTCATGCCTGCGCTCCCGTTGGTTTCCCTCATCTGTACCTAAAGCATCCTCTGTGAGAGAGGGAACTCGGATGGACAGCCTTATATTGCAGTGGGATGGCAGAAAACACAGGACAAAGGCCATGGAAGGCTTAAAGCAACCGGCAATTCCTGCGGAGCTTCACATCTGAGTTACCATGGGTACCAATTGCCAGTGGTCCATGGGATGCCCTTAGTCCCCTCCCCACCTTTTCCACCCCTGGCTGTGTAGCACTTAGATGTAGCTGTAGGCTTGGGACAAACAGAGCTCAGTAGCTTTAGGGATGCTGGGGATGGACTCTTCATTAGGGACTGCAGTGATAGGACAAGGGGTGATGGGTTCAGACTGAAACAGGGGAAGTTTAGGTTGGATATAAGGAGGAAATTCTTCCCTGTGAGGGTGCTGAGGCACTGGAATGGGTGCCCAGGGAGGTTGTGAATGCTCCATCCCTGGCAGTGTTCAAGGCCAGGTTGGACAGAGCCTTGGGTGCCATGGTTTAGAGCGAGGTGTCCCTGCCCATGGCAGGGGGTTGGAACTGGATGATCTTAAGGTCCTTTCCAACCCTAACTATTCTATGATTCTAATTAGCACCAAACCAGCACCCAGTGGTAGCTGTGCACCAAACCCATCAGGCACATGGTGCTGCAGCATCAGCTGCAGGTCACAGCGTGCTGCAGGCAGCACGAGGAGCAGAACCAGCAACAACAGCAGACAGGGAGGGCAAAAGGGGCTGGAGAAGTAGATGGGACCCCCCACTAGCACATGGAGGATGCTTGTGCAGCATCCATCTGCTGCATTCAGCTCTTCTCTGCCATGCCATGAACTGGGAATGCTTTCCCTTTCCCTACCGTGAACAGGGGGTGCTTTCCTTTCCCCTCCTTTTTCTCTTGTTCCTAATGTTCCCCAAGATTAACATTCCCCATCACGACCCCTGTGTGCCACAGCCTGCAGATGAGCACTGGTGTGTGTGAGCCTGGCTTGGCACACACAGTGGGGAAGCAGTGTGCCCTTCCCAGGCCAGCAGCCTGCTCCTTCCCTGCACGCTCACCCCATCAGCAGTGCAGGATTCCCACTGAGCACTGACTTCAGGGAATCACAGGATCCCGGAGTGGTTTCGGTTGAAGGGAGCTTGAAGCTCCTCCTTTCCCAACCCCTGCCACGGGCAGGGACCCCTTCCACTGGAGCAGCTTGCTCCAAGCCCCTGTGTCCAACCTGGCCTTGAGCACTGCCAGGGATGGGGCAGCCACAGCTTCTCTGGGCACCCTGTGCCAGCGCCTCAGCACCCTCACAGGGAAGAGCTTCTGCCTTATCTCCAACCTGAACTTCCCCTGTTTCAGTTTGAACCCATCACCCCTTGTCCTATCACTGCAGTCCCTGATGAAGAGTCCCTTTGCAGCATCCTTATAGCCCCCTTTAGGCACTGGAGCTGCTCTCAGGTCTCCCCTTCAGGAGCCTTCTCTTCTCCAGGCTGCCCCAGCCCAGCTCTCTCAGCCTGGCTCCAGAGCAGAGCTGCTCCAGCCCTCGCAGCAGCTCCATGGCCTCCTCTGGCCTCGCTCCAACAGCTCCACATCCCTCTTGTGCTGCTGCCCCAGAGCTGGAGCAGTCCTGCAGGGGGGGTCTCCCTACATCACTGCCAGAGGCACCTCATGCTGGTGGCTCAACAGCCACTGATACCCCCAGCATCACTCAATGGTACCATCACTACCAGGCCTCTTCCACCTTGTCCATTCGTTATCAAAATACCCAGCATCAAAGCAACCCCAGGACCAGCCCTCTGTGATTCCCATTGCTCCAACCATCCTATATTTGACTCACTAAACCAAAGTCAGCCTGAACCCCCCATACACACAACTTTCAATGTCCTTTCCCAAGCACAACCCCACTGCTCCTGACATCACCTAACCCGTGATTCCTTGCTGTGTGCCAAGGAAAACCACCTTCAATAGCCCAGCCTCCCATGAGCCCTCTTCTTTTCTCTCTACCTGCATTGCTTAAACCCCAAGTGCAGTCAGCTGGGATTGGCACAGCTGGGTTTAGTGACTGGGACAAGGCCAGCACTTCCCCAGCTCTTCCCTCTTCTTCCTTGCTGTAACTGCAGGAACGTTACCCAGGAACCCTCTGCTCCTGGGGCTGCAGCACAAGGAGTGAAGCCAGAGCCCCATAGGCTTTGATGAGGAATCTGAGCTCTGGGATGAGCATCTCCTTAGTTGTGAATTCCATCCCCTGGCACCCGAAGCAAACCCCATCTCAGGAAGCTCCCAAATGTGTTCTCCCCCCCATATCCCCCTGTTTCTGTACCCCTTTGAGCATCCTCAGCAATCCAGTGCAAGTCCCTGCTGTGGATCAGCTTGTTCCCCCCCTATGGGGACACCCAACCAGCCTGAAGCCATGGGTCCCATGGGGCCACCAGCCAGCTCTTGCCCCGTTGAAGGAGCACAGGGACCCTGAGGCAGCTGCCACAAGGTGGCACTGGCCTCTTGTCACCCAGCCTGGTGACATCCAGCCTGAGGCCCCAGGGTGGGGGCACCCAGAGCATCCCAGGGTCTGGTGGGAGTTTAACTGTGGGCACGAGCAGGAGGAGCTGCGATGGGTCAGAAATGGGGTGGGTAATGGTCACTGCAGGAGCTGTGCCTTGTGAGGGATTTTCCCCTTTAGGCTCTTCTAGATTAGGGAAAAGCAGCGTTTTCTTCTTAGCATCTATGATATATGGCCCAGTTATAGGGTTTCCCCCAGGTCACAGCACCAGAAGCTTCTTGTCACCAGATCTGTCTGATGGGGGTCAGTAACCACCAAGGCGAGGCACAAAACCCCCATCACCAGGGGGGTTTGGGTACCACACTCGCCCATCCCATCACAGGGACCCCCATCTGCAGCTCATCCCACCGCAGGATCTCCTAGGAGAGGAAGCCCAACACCACAGCGGTGGGGAACACCGGAGCATGGTGTGTGCTTGCCCCGCATGGGTGCAGCCACCTCGGCCTGGCCCCATTCCCCTGCTTTATTTGCAGATAAAGGGTTTATTTTCCTTTCCCAGCACCGCGGCTGCAGGACAAACACAGCGAAGCCTCCTGAGATACCTCCCCCTTGGGCCGGGTGCCTGCGGAAGCGCTGGTGTTCGTCCCTGCGCCTCCTCCTTTGGCACCTTGCTCCTGTTGAGAAACCACAACGGGCTCAGCCCCACACTGGGCACCCCCGAACCCCTCTGATCTGGGGGTTGTGCCCATGGGAAACCAGGAAGTGGTCACGGAGCTCCTCCGGTGCCCCAAGGCGTTCGCTCACACCCAGTGCTGCGCTCTGGATCAGGGTCTGGCGTCACTCTTTGGGCTGGGGCATCGCACTGGGTTTAACCTCTGAGTGCAGGTGGAAAGGGCCCCGTGGGCCAGATAATCCACTGCAATTAAAGACAGTCATTATGCCTTTATTGCAGGGGGACTGGGTCACCGCTGCTCTTCTGGAGGATGGGGACACGTCTTGGACCCACTCCATGGGTCAATCCCAAACCTAGCGGAGCCAAAGGCAAGGAGCCAAAGCAGGACCCAAGAACATCCCCTTCCCGTCCACCTCTGTGCCCTCAGCCCGTGGAAAACACATTTGGGACCTGCAGTACAAAAGGCCAAAGCTACAGCCGACAGCAGGAAGGAAGCAGGAAAAACTCCAGCATCACCGTCCAGAGCCCGGAGAGACCTTTAGGGACACGTGGAGCCGGATGCCTCCAGGCAGGCTCGGGCCATGCTCACAGCGTGTGCCCATGGAGGGAGTGATGCTCCCTGGATGGCAGCAGGGAGGAAGCATCTCATGTCCTGGGATAGGGACTGGGATGCTGGGTGGGGATTTGCCCCATCACTGGGGCTGTGATGCCACCAAGGGGTTGCCCTCGAAGCCACCTCAGCACTGGCATGGGTGGGTGCACTATGGATTGCCCCAATGCCGAGTGTGCTCAGAGAAGAAGCAAACGTGACCCCACAGGAGACAGCCACCTCCTTTAATTCCCCACCAGGAACGCAGGGTTCAACTATTACAGGGGTTTAGCACCAGGAAAACCCAGTGGCCCGAGTCAGGAAGCTGCTGGGAGCCCACCACCACCTGATGTGCACAGGGAGAGGGTCCTTGGAGACCCCTGGCACCCTTGGGAGCGCAAGGAGCTGCTTCTGCTCCTGCCATCCCCCAGGGATGGGTCCACAGGAGCAGGACCTCCCCATGGGTCTCACCCTGTCGGGATGTCCCAGGGCTGAGCATCCCCACGGGGACACCGCTCCCACAAGGAGCAGGATGCTCAGCAGCGATGTGACCCCAAATCCCCCAGCTCTAGGGCAGGGACGGGGGGGAAGGCACCACGGGCAGGCTCAGATCATGGAGACCCTGTTCTTGATGTAGACGTGGTAGGGGTCGCTGCGCTTCTCCACCTTGCGGGAGCGGGTGTAGCCCAGGATGAGGCTGCCCACGGTGGCAGCGAAGAGGGTCATGACGAAGAGGATGTAGAGGAAGGCGTTGTCATCGCGGCCGGGCCGGGCGCTGCTGCTGCTGCCCCGTGTGACAGCGCGGTCGGAGGCGCACAGCGGGATCCCCTGTAGGGTCTGGTTCAAGGCATCAAGCACCGCCTGGAGGCTTCGGTGCCAGGTCTCTGTGTGGTTGTGCTCCTCCATGGCCTCCTCTGCGCTGTCGGGGGGAAGGAGCAGTTTGGGATGGATGATGCTGCGATGTCCCCACCGTGACCCCAAAGTGGTCCTTGAGTCACAGAATCCCAGAGTGCTTTGGCTTGGAGGCATCTTAAAGCTCCTCCAGCTCCATCCCCTGCCATGCCATGAACTGGGAATGCTTTCCCTTTCCCTACCGTGAACAGGGGGTGCTTTCCTTTCCCCTCCTGTTTCTCTTGTTCCTAATGTTCCCCAAGATCAACTTTCCCCCATCACGACCCCTGTGTGCCACAGCCTGCAGATGAGCACTGGTGTGTGTGAGCCTGGCTTGGCACACACGGTGGGGAAGCAGTGTGCCCTTCCCAGGCCAGCAGCCTGCTCCTTCCCTGCACGCTCACCCCATCAGCAGTGCAGGATTCCCATTGAGCACTGACTTCAGGGGATCACAGGATCCCAGAGTGGTTTGGGTTGAAGGGACCCTAAAGCTCATCCAGCTTCAACCCTGCCACAGGCAGGGACCCCTTCCATAGAGCAGCTTGCTCCAAGCCCCTGTGTCCAACCTGGCCTTGAGCACTGCCAGGGATGGGGCAGCCACAGCTTCTCTGGGCACCCTGTGCCAGCGCCTCAGCACCCTCACAGGGAAGAGCTTCTGCCTTATCTCCTACCTGAGCTTCCCCTGTTCCAGTCTGAACCCATCACCCCTGTCCTGTCCTCACAGCCCCTGATGAAGAGCCCCTCTCCGCACCCTCCTCTGCCACACAGCAAGGGTAGGAGTGGGGCACCCAAACCCTTTGTGTTCATGGCAGCCCCCTCCCTCAAGCCCTCCCACATGGAGGGGATGAAGCCCCCCAGAGCTTCAGGGCTGCCCCCATCTCCTCCCTGGGATGAGGACACTGGACACAGACGTCCCAGGGGCCGGGGTGGTTGGGTTCACAGCCTGCTTTCCCTACAGACAGGCAGGGACAATGAGCACCACCCATGTCCTGCACCCGCATCCAGCACCCAAGGGACCCCCGGAAGCCTGCTTGGGGTCCCCCATTCTCAGGATGGATCCTGCCATGCATCCACCCTACTCCAGGCTAAGTCCCCTAGGGCAAGGAGCTGCAATGGTGCTCGCAGGGGGTCCAGAACCCCATGCACCCCTCTGGATCCATCCCAAGGGGTCGCTGACCTGACCGCATCCCAGGGTTTCCCTCCCCATGGATCCCAGCACCCCCCAAACCCCACGGGGACACTGCCCCTCTGCCAGCCCACCCCAGAGCCCCACATGCCCTATGCACCCTTGAGCACCTTCACACCTCGCTGGGGCTTTAGAGCAGGCACAGACGGGACACAGGGACATGGTCCCCACATGTGCCACCCTTCGGGACACAGAAGCCACTTCTGTCCACCCCGGGGTGTCCACCCCCTGCTCCGGAGCACCCCATGCAGGCAGCACCAGCAGCTCTACCCCATGCACAAAAGGGTGACCCCAAACCCGTGCTGCAACCTCCGCAGTGAGGAGGAGGAGGAGGAGGAGGAAGGGGCTGAGCAGCCACGAGTCCACGGGGATGGGCTCGTGGCCGCGTTTGAAGCAGGAGGAGGCTGAACTGGGGCAGGGAAAGGGGATGAAGGCCCCTGGAGGGCAGCGGCGGGGGTCGCACTCACCGGGGCCTCCTTCGCCTGCGCTGCTGCCCCCGCGGAGCCGGCACTGGGGCATCGCGGGGACCTCGGGCCGGGCGGGGAGCTCCGCTCCGCTCCGCTCCTCGCTGCCTCCTCCCCTTCCCGGGGCAGAGCCACCTGCCCGGGGCCGGGAGAGCCGGACCCGCCGCTTCCCCCCGCCCCACGGCCGCGCCTTCCTGCCCCTCCTCCGGCCGGCGCCGCTGCCACCGAGCCCCTCACCGTGCATCGGGGCTGCTCAGGGCGCGCTCCTTCCCCAGGCACCGGCTCCATGCAGCGGGAATTGCCCCCCCCTTGCTGCCCCCCAGCCTCCACCCGAACCCTCCGCAGGCTGCGGGATGGGGGCACCCGTGGGGAGCCCCCAGTGCAGAAACCCCAAAGCTTGTGGGGCACAAAGGACCCGAGAGGGGCTGCGTGTGGGGCTCGGGTCTGGTCCCGAGCAGGGCGCAGGGGCTTTGTTTGCCGCTTTCCATCCCTCCCATCTCGGGCAATGCAGAGCCTTGGGATGGGTCATGGCTGTGCCAACCACCAGCAGGGAGAAGGCTTCGGGGAGCCCAGACCCTCCTGCCCATGCACTGGGAGAGCTGTGAGCATCCCCAGCAGGCAGCTCTGGAACCTCCACCCCACGTTGGCTTCTTACCCCTTAAGCAACCCATTGATTAAATCAGTTTCTGTGTCTCTATCCATAGGTTTGCATTGATGGGCAGGACCTCGGTGGCATCACAGCCCTGGGATGCTGCATCCCGTCACCGTGAGCCCGCATGGATGCTGTGGCTGGAGCAGTGATTTCGGAGGTGCCAACACCATGGACCCAGCAGGAGCAGGTCCCCATCACCCAGGCTCAATCCTATGCTGTGTGATTGGTCCCACTGGCCACAGCTCCTCTCCCTGGGCATCCCAACCCCTTCCCCTCCTCTTCCTGCTTTCCCATATGAGCATCGATCCAGTGTCTTTAGCCACCACTCACAGCCTCCCATCAGCAACTGTTCCCCAAGCACATCACTTCATCCGGGCTGCACCGGCCTTCCAGTGCCTAAAGGGGCTGCAGGAGACCTGGAGAGGGGCTTGGGACAAGGGCCTGTAGGGCCAGGCCAAGGGGAATGGCTTGAACCTGCCCGAGGGGAGACTGAGCTGAGCTCTTAGGCAGAAGCTCTTCCCTGTGAGGGTGCTGAGGCGCTGGCACAGGGTGCCCAGAGAAGCTGTGGCTGCCCCATCCCTGGCAGTGCTCAAGGCCAGGTTGGACACAGGGGCTTGGAGCAAGCTGCTCCAGTGGAAGGGGTCCCTGCCTGTGGAAGGGGTTGGGGCTGGAGGAGCTTTAAGCTCCCTTCAACCCAAACCATGCCATGATTCTATGATTTTCCAGCCACCCAGCACCACAGCAAGGATCTCTCTTTGCCATGTGAGGGTTTCTGGGTGCAGAGCAAGGCTGTTATCCACTAAGACCTGGGGAAAATAAACGAGCAAAGGATCAGCAGTGAAGTTCCCAGCAATTCTCTTTATAGAAAATCTGCCTCTTTACACAGTGAGGGAAGGATGCTCGACCCCTTTCTTCTCATCCATCGGGGGTGTGAGTGTTCACCCAAATCTGGGATATTTAGGAGAAAAGAGGCAGAGATAAACCCACAGAAGCATCTATTTGAGCATCTCCCGAGTGCGCAGCGGGGATGTGGTACCCACGGAGGTCTCAATCCATGGAGCTGCGAACAGCAGCCCTGATGGAGTTTGGATGTTTAAGCAACAGCCTGATCCTCTCTGTGCCACCACAGGCAAAGGCACTTTGCAGTAAAGGCTCAGGTGGCTCCATCACCACCACCCCAAGTGGCTCCATCACCACCACCCCAAGTGGCTCCATCACCACCACCCCAAGTGGCTCCATCACCACCACCCCAAGTGGCTCCATCACCACCACCCCAAGTGGCTCCATCACCACCACCCCAAGTGGCTCCATCACCACCACCCCGAGTGGCTCCATCACCCACCGTCCATCATTCACACCAGGACACCAGGACACAGGAGGTCCCCACAGCTCCCATCACAGCTCTCTTAGTCCCCAGGCTCCTCCGAGAAGACCAAGGTGCAGTCAAAGACCTCCCGGAAGGAGTCGAGGAAGGGCTCCAGGACCTGCTCCACCGGGATGTGCCGGCCCAGCTCCTGGCTCAGGGATGTGACCCCTTTCCCCTCCAGCCCGCAGGGTACGATGTGCTCGAACCAGCTGAGGTCGGTGCAGCAGTTCAGCGCCAGCCCGTGCGATGTGATGTGGCTCCCGCAGTGCACCCCTGCCCGGACCGAAGCACCCCAAACCCCAGTCAGCACACATGAAGGGGGAGGCTGTGGGGCATGGGGGGGACAGAGGACCAGGGTGCAGGGTGCTGGGCCCTGCTTTGGGGTGCCTCTGGTTGGGCTGCCCCCACCCCAGCGCACACCCCTCAGTGCCTGCTTCCCCCATAGCACACACCCCAGTGTACCTCCCCCCCAGAACACCCCCTCCATCCCCAATACATCCCTTTATGGGCACCCCCCCCATCTGGTATAACCCTCTACACTCACCCCCATACACCCCTCCCTGGTGCATCACCCCTGCTATAACCCCCCCTTTCCATGTAGACCCCCCCCTAATGTTCACCCCCCCAGGTTATCCCCCCTTCCCCTGTAGACCCCCCCTGGTGTTCACCCCCCCACCCCAAGGTACAGCCTCCCCAGTGCCCCCCTCCAGTACAGCCACTTCCCAGCACACAGACCCTCGGTGCACGACCCCCCCTGAACCCCTTCCCGGTCCTGTCCCATCCCGTCCCCCCCCTCCTTCTACCGGTTCACTCCACCCCGATGCTCTCCCCTCGGTCCACGGTAAACCCCACCCCTGGTACAGCCCCGCTCCGGTCCCTCCGCTCCCGTTGCACCTCCCCCCCCCCGGGTACCCGTTCCCTCCTCGTAAACCCATCACCCGCTCCCTCCGTTTCCGTTGCACCCCCCCGGTACCCGTTTCCCCCCCATCGTAAGTCCATGCCCCGCTCCCTCCGCTCCCGTTCCCACCCCCATAAGCCCATGCCCCGGTCTCTCCGCTCCCGTTGCTCAACCCCCGGTACCCGTTTCCCCCCCCATCGTAAGTCCATGCCCCGCCCCCGTACCCGTTCCTACCCCCGTAAGCCCATGCCCCGCCCCCTCCGCTCCCGTTACACCACCGTAAGCCCATGCCCCGCCCCCTCCGCTCCCGTTTCGCCCCCCCCCGTACCCGTTCCTACCCCCGTAAGCCCATGCCCCGCCCTCTCCGCTCCCGTTTCCCCTCCCCCGTAAGCCAATACCCGGTCTCTCCGCTCCCGTTTCGCTCCTCCCGTACCCGTTCTCCCCCAGTAAACCCATGCCCCGCTCCCTCCGCTCCCATTTCCCCCCCAGTAAGCCCATGCCCCGCCCCCTCCGCTCCCGTTTCGCCCCCCCGTACCCGTTCCTACCCCTATAACCCCATTCCCCTTTCCCTCCGCTCCCGTCGCCCCCCCCATAACCCCGTACCCCGCTCCCCGGCCCCGCTGCCCCCCCCGCGGCGCTCACCGATGGCGCAGACCTTGCTGTCCCCCAGCCAGACTCCGGTGAAGGGCGGCGGGAGGGCGCGGGCGGCGCCGAGGCCCAGGCGGCGGCAGAGCCTCAGGCCCAGCTCCTCCAGGGCCCCCACGTAGCGGCGCAGCGGGAGCCGCCGGCGCCTCAGGTCCAGCACCGGGAAGGCCACGAGCTGCCCGGGCCCGTGGAACGTCACGTGACCGCCGCGCCGCGCCGCCACCAGCGCCGCTCCCCGCGCCCGCAGCCCCGCGGCCGCCGCCGGCCCGGGCTCGCCCCGCAGCCCCCACGCGTACACGGGCCCCGCCGGCTCGCTCAGCACCAGGCTCTCGGCCGCCCCCGCCCCTGCCCCTGCCCCCGCCCGCGCCGCCCGCGCCGCCGCCACGCAGCGCTCCTGCACCCGCAGCGCCTGCGGGAAGGGCCGCAGCCCCAGCAGCAGCACCCGCACCGCGGCCCGAGGCATCGCGGGGACCGCGCCGCAGCGCGGAGCAGAGGGACCGGAGCGGGGGGGGGGAGGGCGCCGGGGCCGCCGGGAGGAGTCGGGCGGGGCGGGAGGGGGTAACGGGGAAGGGAGCGGGGGGCAGATTGCAGAGAGCATGGGGCAATGGGGCAGAGGGGTAAGGGTGTGAGCAGGTTTGTGTGCAGGGATGGGGTCCTCAGCGTAAGGACATGGAGCTGTTGGAGCAAGGATAGAGGAGGCCGTGAGGATGCTCAGGGGCTGGAGCAGCTCCTGTATGGAGCCAGGCTGAGAACATTGGGGCTGTTGAGCCTGGAGAAGAGAAGCTGCGTGGAGACTTCAGAGCAGCTTCCAGTGTGTGAAGGGGGCCTATAGGGGCCTATAGGGATGCTGGGGAGGGACTCTTCATTAGGGACTGTAGTGATAGGACAAGGGGTGATGGGTTCACACTGAAACAGGGGAAGGTCAGGTTGGAGATAAGGCAGAAGCTCTTCCTTGTGAGGGTGCTGAGGCACTGGAATGGGTTACCCAGCAAAGCTGTGAATGCTCCATCCCTGGCAGTGTTCAAGGCCAGGTTGGACAGAGCCTTGGGTGCCATGGTTTAGAGCGAGGTGTCCCTGCCCATGGGAGGGGGTTGGAACTGGATGAGCCTAAGGTCCTTTCCAGCCCAAAGCATTCCATGATTCTATGGATTGGGGACAGGGATGGAGGACTGGGGGGATGTGGGGATGGAGGATAGGAGATAGGGGTGGGGGACAGGCAGGGAGGATTGGATGGGGAGAAGGGACAGAGGATGGAGGACGGGACAGGGATGGGGGAGAGCGGATGGGGAATGAGGACAGGGGAGAGGGGTCAGAGATGGAGGACAGGACAGGCACAGGGAGGATAGGGGATGGAGACAAGGGATAGGGAACAGGGGTGAGAGAAGGGGATGGAGGTGGAGTTACAGGGCAAGGACAGGGGATGGGGAAGGGCATAGAGATCAGAGGGGATAAGGGTACAGAGATGGAGGATATGGGACAGGCACAGGGGATGGGGGGACAAGGACAGGAATGGGGAAGGAGAGGTGATAAGCACAGTGAATGGGGACAGAGTTAGAGCACAAGGACAGGGGAATAGAGGATGATAGTTTGGGGCTGGGGCATGGGACATGGCCTGAGACAGGGTACAGGGATGGGGTATAGAGGACAGGGGATGGGGACAGGGGGATCATGCTTGGGGACAGGGCAGAGATAGGGAACAGGGCCTGGGGAGGGGGGATAACGGACAGGGATGAGCCTGGGGACCTGGGGGTGGCTGATAGGGCCCAGGGCTGCAGTAGGGGAGAGATAGGGCCCCATCACTGCAGGGTGTGGGACATGGGGCACCAAGAGGGAGGACAGGGTGAGGGCAGGGCATGGGGACACCGTGTCCTGGTGGGGTTGGGGTGGGCTGGACCTGCTCAGGATGGGCTGAAGCTCATGTTCTGTGCTGGCACCTCAAGGGCATGGTCTGGAAATGAAGTCATTGTGCTGCTGATGGGAGCCCCACTTTGTCACCCTGAGAGCCATAAAACATCCCCACTTCTCATTCCCAATGTAGAAAATACACAGGTCTGGGCGGACCGGTAATGAGTCACCCATTAAACCCTGAGCAAACCATTCCCAGCCCAAGGTCCTTCGAGCCCAAGGTCCTTGGATACAGAGTGTGAAAGTGTGATTTGAGTTTATAGAGCATCCTGAGTGCGTTCCTGAGCCCTCGGGGTTATCCAAACTGCACCTCAGAGTCCCGGAGAGCTCATTGTGGCCTTTCTGTTCCTAAAAGGGACTTAGAGGAAAGATGGGGAGGGGTGTTTTAATAGGGCCAGGCCAAGGGGAATGGCTTGAACCTGCCCGAGGGGAGACTGAGCTGAGCTCTTAGGCAGAAGCTCTTCCCTGTGAGGGTGCTGAGGCGCTGGCACAGGGTGCCCAGAGAAGCTGTGGCTGCCCCATCCCTGGCAGTGCTCAAGGCCAGGTTGGACACAGGGGCTTGGAGCAAGCTGCTCCAGTGGAAGGGGTCCCTGCCCGTGGCAGGGGTTGGGAATGGAGGAGCTTTAAGCTCCCTTGAACCCAACCCATGCCATGTTTTTATGCCCTACCCTTTGTCAGGGCCGGTGATTCAGCTGTTGTTTGACACCAGCAGTAACCCAGTCTGTGTGGGTATTTGCAAGGAAGGGAAGGCACATCCCTTTGTTCAGCCGTCTTGAAAAACCAGTTCTGTAATGAATGATTTATGAGAGCAATATAGCCTGGGGGGAAATGTAGATGGGGAAAACCCCACCATAAACAGCACCAGGGGGCATGGAACCATGGAATCAATGGGGTTGGAGAAGCCCTTTCAGCTCATCCAGTCCAACCATTGCCCCACAGCCACCACTGCCCCATGGCACTGAGGCCTCGTCTCCACGGGATGTGAACCCTTGCAGGGCCGGTGCCTGCAGCCCTGCCCTGGGCAGCCTGTTCCAATGCCTGAGCACCCTCTGGGGCAGGAATTGGTCCTCAGCTCCATCTAAACCTGCCCTGGTGCAGCTTGAGGCCGGTTCCTCTTGTCCCATCCCTTGTTCCTTGGGAGCAGAGCCCAGCCCCTCCTGGCTCCATCCTCCTCTCAGGCACTTGGAGGCAGCCATCAGGTCCCCCCTGAGCCTTCTGCTGGAGCAGCACCCAAACCTCCCAACGTCAAGCACCACTCCATGTCCCTGCCTTGGCCGGACGCGCTCGCACCTTGCACCATCATTGTGTGTGTGGAGCCATTTCCTCTTGGCTATGATTAAGCATCAACTTCTTGCCTGCAGATCAAAGGCAGAGCTCTTCCTTTTTGGCTCGCCCCGGCTCTGCCTGCGTAAGATGCTGGGGTCTGTGTGTAATAGCTCTGGGATCCTCGTAAGCACCATGACGGGGATGAGCGTGGCTGCGTCGGGGGGTATTTACTGTCCATATCCTGCTTTTGATGCAGGCAGGAAATGTGGGTGGAGAGGGGCCATGGATGCCTCTTGCTTTATCCCCCTGCCAGGCTCTGAGTGCTTTTAACATGGGGTTTTCCCTTCATCCCAGGGTAATGGGGCTGCTCCGGCGCAGCTTTTCCTGTGGGTACCTTAAGCCTTGAGCCCACATCCATTCCTGCACCATCAGAGCCCGTTCCTCTGGCACAGGAGCCTCCATTGAGAAGCTTTAGGGCCTGATGCACATCAGGGCTTAACAGCAGGAAGGGAAGGGGAGCACAAAGGTGGTGGCTGTGAAACAGGTGCCTGGCAAAGGGCATCATCCCAACCCATGGGGAGATGCAGGCTTGGCTATGGTGAGCTCCGGGACCAAGTTCCTGTTGGCTTTGGCAAGGCTGGGCTGTCCCCATGGGGTGATGGAGCTGGCCCAGCGTGCCCAGCCTGGGCTGCCCCTGCTCCCATCCTCCTGCCATGCAGGGTGTATTCCTAGGCCCCCCAAACAGCGGGACCATGGCTGCTCTGCTTGCATGTACTGATGGGAATCCCTGGCAGCGTGAAGGGCTTCAACACAAGGGCCTCAGCTCCGGAGCTGCACAAGCCCAAGGTGAAAAAGCCCATCCCAAAGATGCATCCCTGGAGGTATTTCTGGAATCGTTCCCTTCTCCCATAGGGCTGGATGGAGCTCAGAGCTCACCTCTTGCATTGCCCTGGTGGGGTTTGAAGATGAATGGTCATCCCTGCTGGTACCCAGCTGGGTCTCCATGGTGACCAGTGATGGAGAGGTCTCCTGGCCTGGTGCTGGGGAGCCTGAAGCTATGGTTTTCATTTTCCATGATATCTATTCCATCAGTTGGAGGTTCCTTGAAAGGATCCATCAACCTCCCTGCACAGGACAGCAGCATTGAGTCCTGCACCTGCAACATTCCCACTACATCTAATTCCATAGTGAACCTTTCCCGAAGCGTGTTGGGATGGAGTCACTCAGGATGAGTTCATTCAGGCAGGATCCCATAGGCAGAACCACTCCTGCCTCCCTGATGCATTCATTGACTCCAAGAAGCCCATTCCCAAGGCAAGGAGGAAGAGAACCAAGGGGGGATCCATGTGAGGCTGAGTGCACCAGGGTGCACTGAGGAAGTGCTTAAGGAAGCTCCTGGCTGGGCCCAGGGGCACGGCTGGGAGCGGGGTGGGTTTCTGTGCCCATTGTGCTTCTCTTGGTTCTCAGCATCTTCGGACCCACCTCGGAGCCAATGGCCACAGCTCTGCTCCTATGAGCTTCCCCTGTTTTCCACTGCTGTTTCCATTCAGATGCATTGTTCGGTCTGCAAAGACCCCAAGTGAAGATGCTCTTGTCTCCTGTTTGTCCCTAACTGCTGCTCAGAGGTCACCCTCACCTCTGCCAACCAGCGTGGCTTCAGAGACCCACCAAAGTGGTGCCAGGGGGGATAAAGACTCACCACAGCATCATTTAGAATCATGGAATGGTTTAGGTTGGAAAGGACCTTAAGATCATCCAGTTCCATCCCCCTGCCATGGGCAGGGACACCTCACACTAAACCATGGCACCCAAGGCTCTGTCCAACCTGGCGTTGAACGCTGACAGGGATGGGGCAGCCACAGCTTCTCTGGGCACCCATTCCAGCGCCTCAGCACCCTCACAGGGAAGAGCTTCTGCCTTATCTCCAACCTGACCTTCCCCTGTTTCAGTCTGAACCCATCACCCCTTGTCCTATCACTGCAGTCCCTAATGAAGAGTCCCTCCCCAGCATCCTTGTAGCCCCCTTCACACACTGGAAGCTGCTCTGAGGTCTCCACGCAGCTTCTCTTCTCCAGGCTCAACAGCCCCAATGTTCTCAGCCTGGCTCCATACAGGAGCTGCTCCAGCCCCTGAGCATCCTCGTGGCCTCCTCTGGACTTGTTCCAACAGCTCCATGTCCTTCTGATGTTGAGGACCCCAGAACTGCACACAGTGCTGCAAGTGGGGTCTCAGGAGAGCAGAATAAAGGGGCAGGATCACCTCCTTCGCCCTGCTGGTCACGCTCCTTTTGATGCAGCCCAGGGTACG